CTCTCGAATCGGCCTCCAAACGACTCGAATCTAGTGACAAATAACTTAATATAATTGATACAAGCTATAGGAATCAATTGCATATGATAAAGCTAAGATATTTAACCAAATTCAAAAAGTAACCACGGGCTCACGCCTCGAAACCCAACAAAATACACAAATCCAAACACTCATTCAATTACGAGTCTAACCATACCAAAATCATCCAATTCCAACCATAAATCGACCCTCAAATCCTCAAATCTTACTCTCCAATACATAGACCAAATATCCCCCAAACTTTACCTCAAACACATATAATCTAGGTGTAAAAATCAATGGGTATTCAATATTTATGGACAAAAGTGATCAAAAGTTACTTACCTCTTGAATTGTAGTGAAATATCTCTCAAACATTGCCCCTAGACGAGCTCCACAAGTAAAAAAAATGAGATAAAACTCGAAACCCTTCGAAATATAACACTGGTAGGCATTTCGCATCTGCGATCCATTCTTCGCTTCTGCGGAACTGCTTATGTGGTCCAATTTATGTATCTGCAGAACTCACATAAACTCCGTCCCACTGCATCGGCGGTCCAAAGCCTGCACCTGCGGAACTTTTACACTTCTGCGACTCATGCCCTCCAGTCCCCAACGCTTCTGCGGACCATCCATCGCATTTGTAGACGCGCTTCTATGCACCTATGCCCGCTTCTGCAGACTCCAAATCCCAGATCCTCATTCGCTTATGGGGAAACAACACGCATCTGCGGGCTTGCAGATGCGACATATTCCTCGCACTTGTGACCCACCAGCAGCCTAGCCAAACACGTATTTGCGACCCCTGGGCCGCTTCTACGGCGTCGCACCTACGTAAAATCCCTCCCAGGTGCGATTGCACCAGAACTGAAGCTCCAGCATTTTTCCTACGTCTAATTCTCAACTCGAATTCAATATGAATCAAACCCGAGGCCCCCAGGACCCCATCCAAACATACCAACACATCCTAAATTATGATACAAACTTAGTCGAAGCCTCAAATCACATCAAACAATATCAAAATTACGAATCACATCCCAAGTCAAGCCTCACAGAACTTATGAATTTCCAACTTCTAAAACCAATGTCGAAACCTATGAAACCAACTCCGATTGACCTCAAATTTTGCACACAAGTCATAAGTGACACAACGAAACTACTCCAATTCTCGAAACCAAAATTTGAGCCCGGTATTAATAAAGTCAACTCTCGGTCAAACCTCTCAACCTTCCAAACCTTCAACTTTCCAACTTTCGCCAATTCAAGCCAAAACAACATACAGACCTCCAAATCAATATCCGGACATACTCCTAAGTCCTAAATCACCATACAAAGCTATCAAAAATATCAAAACTCTATTTCAGAGTCGTCCACATAAAAGTCAAACTCTGAACAACTCTAACAACTTAAGCCTCCAACCTTGGGACTAAGGGTCCCCATTCACTCCGAAACATCCCCAAAATTATACCAACCACCCCAACAAGTTACATAACCACAAATGAACATAAAAGAAGCGATATATGGGGAAGCATGGTTGCAATATGCAAAACGGCCGTTGGAGTTGTTACAGGCTCTTTATGATGTGGAAGTCGGAGAACTCACTTTTCGGGTTGGTGATGAAAAGGTGGTATTCCATATGTGTAAGTCTATGTGGCAACAAAATAGCAATGAGGTGTGTTCTTTTGTGGATTTGGTGGCCGGTGTTATTATTGATGATATAAGTGCTACAATCATTGTTGGTGATATGTTGGAAGCCGTTGTGCTCAACTTTGATGATGATGAGATGGATGTTTTCATGGAATGTGTGAAGTCCTTACAAGGAATGGGGTCATACAACTATGTACCCCAAAAATTATTTTTGGATCTTGAGAATAGGAAGACTCCTCCTACAAAGCCTTTTACTGAAGAGCCACCTACTTTGGAGTTGAAGCCATTTCCACCACACCTTCGGTATAAATTTCTTGGCCCTTGCTCTACATTACCTGTTATTATTTCCTCTTGTTTGACTAACGTTCAGGTTGATTCCACATTGGTAGTATTGCAAAAGAGGAAGAAGGCTATTGGGTGGACTTTGGCAGATAGGGATTTTTACCTACAATCATTGGATAAGTAATTTTGATCTATTTTCAATTATACTACATGATTATACATGAGATTTAACATCAAATTCATGAGAATCTAAGAGAAATTTTAGGGATTTTTGTTTGTATTTTGAAAAATATAATTTTGGGATTTGAGAGTCGAATTGGACTCGGATTTGAAAACAAAACATATATATGGACTCGTGGGGTTATGGATAGTCGATATCTATCCTTGGACTCGAATTTTGACCGGGCGGGTCCGGAGTTGACTTTTTCCAAATTCATTAAAGTTCAAATTTTTTTTCATTCGTGGGTAGTTTCTAGAGCTTATTTTGAATTATTTGAACTGTATTTGGCTAGATTTGATTGGTTTGAGGCTAATTCTAAAATAAAGGTCGTGGTTGAGTGTTGATTTGATTGCGGAAAGAGGTAAGTGTTGTGTCTAACCTTGACTTGAGGAAACTAGGACTCGTTGACTATTGTTTATGTGGATTATGTGGGGAAACAACGTATATGCAAGGTGACGAGTATATATGCGTTGTTGTGGGATTTAGCATGTTGGATTGGACTATTTATTTTCATGTTTTTGTTATTCCATGTTATCTCTTGTTATATGCTTTAATTATTGCATGTTCCTACTTGACATCCATGTTTTACTTGTTAATTTGTTACTCAATTGTTACTTGCTTGATTTGTTCATTTCTCACTCAATAATCTGCTTACCTGCTACTTGTTCCTACTTGCCTTAATTGTATATTCTCATTGTCACATGTTTTACCTGTTTTTATTATCCTTATATTACTCGATGCACTCTATTATGTTATTTCGCTTATGTGAGTCGTTTAGCTATTCTTGTATTGATGAATCGATAAGGTTTGGAATTTTGAGGTGTTAGATATTCTCTGTTGCATCGGTGGTTCTTAAATGTTCCGTACATTTCATCCTCTTTTGTGTTGATATTTCATAAATATTGGTATTGGATTATTTATGTTAATAATTTGATGTTGTGGGATCGGGTTGTGCGCCGCAACGGCGTTGAAATAAATTGATATGGTAGGATCGGGTTGCACGCTGCAACGGAACAGGAAATGATATTATATGAAGAGATAAGGACGGAATATGACATTAATAGATGATGATATGGTGTGATAATGGAAATCGGATCATGGTATTGTGTTAATTGTTGGGATCGGGTTGCACACCGCAACAGATTTGATGTGCTATAGTTATTTGTGGCTGTATAGTTTGTTCTCGGTATTATGATATGAGATTTGAGATTATGTTATTCTGGGACCCTCTAATAATTGACCTACGGGTCCGGTTATTTGAGTTTACTATTTTATTTCTATTTCTGTTATTACTGTTTAGTACATGTTATTTATGAGTGGCTTGCCATACCCTTGTCACTACTTCGTCGATGTTAGGCTCGGCACTTACAGAGTACATGGGGCCGGTTATACTCATGCTAAACTTCTGCACTTGTTGTGCAGATACTGGTGTTGGTCCCAGCAGCGCATAGCGAACGCTGCTCGGATTCAACAACTTTTGGAGACTTGAGGTGGAGTTACTGGTGTTCGCAGTTCCTAAAATCCCCTTCTATCCTATTTTTACTGTTTTTCTTATTTCAAACAGTTGTATTTCGTTCAGACTTTATCTGACTTTATCTGTAGAATTCTAGAATGCTCATGTATTCGTGACTCCAGATTTCTGGGAAATGTTTAGACTACGCTACGTTGTATTTATCACATTCATTTCAAACTGTTGCAGTTTCTTATTATTAATGTTTGATTTAAATTATTAAAACTGGCTAACTAATTAGCTAACGTTGGTTTGCCTTGCAACTGGAATGTTAGGGGCCATTACGACTCCGAGGTTGGGATTCTGGGTCGTGACAATTATGTTAATTATGAGTTTCAATGATGAAAAATAATATATCACATGTGGTGCAGGATCACAAGGAATAAAATAAAGGAATCAAGAAGAAATACCATTCAAGAATAGATTAAGGAAACAATCTATTACCGGGAGCAGTGCAAGGGAAATAATCAACGATTAGAGTGAAAAAGGAAGAAGCAGCGGAGATACGGAAGAAGAATCAATCAATGATTCGATAAATGATTGACATAAGCTATTATAGGAAGGTCCCAAATCAAAGGGAAACGAGATCGCAAAAGGGCTGCACTGGAGATCGTTTGAGCCCGAAATCAAGGAATCTATCGCAAATCACTTAAGTAACGAAAAGATATGCCTAGCGGAAGACAAGCTTATCAAGACCACAAATCAAGGAAGATCAACGTAAACTTGACTTTATTCTTGGAAAGAATAAATCTATGATTCCTTTCAAGGATCAACTCCCTTGGGTTTGCAATCTCTCAAGATTCACGTCATTCAAGAGTCAAGAAGGCCTCACGAAGTATATATATACATATGTTCCAGACTTGAAGAAAACATACTTTGATCAAACCAAATTCAATCTCTTTGTTCTACTTCAAACAAAACACTGTAGTCTGCTCTAGATTTCTTGTGTAACAAAGAAGAGAAGACAGAGAGAAAAGAACATTGGTGAGACATTGTATCAATTATAGAGAGAAGAACAAGTGACAAAAGTTGTTGGTGTATAACAACATCAACTCATCTGTACTAAGCCACTTCATACTTGAAAGTGAACACCCTTGCAACCCAAGGGGACTTGACGTAAGATTCACTCTGAATCCGAACCAGTATAAAAATATATTGTGTCATTTACTTTCTGCAATTTATCTTTTTCATCCGATTCCTGAAAAGCCTAGTCGACTAAAACTCAAATTAGTCAACTACTGCGAAAAAGAAAAGAAAACTCATATTTCCTTCCTTTTTATTAATTATTAATTAATCAAGAAGTGTTAGTAATGTTATTTCAGATTCTAAGGCAACTTGGTAATTGACTGTATAAGTAAGCGAATACAAACAGTATACTGGAGAGAGTTTCCAAAGTCAAAAAATGCTTGATGTACATGAAGATCCATGTTGAGAATATTTTATCCTAGTAATAGTATAGTATCAAACTTGGCATGAAGCTTCCTCAAAGATTTAACCGGTGAAGAATCTTCTCCAAGACTGCCAGGGTAGAAATCCGCCTGTTTAATTAAATGAAAACAGTAATTAATTATATGTTCTTTCTACTGCATGTTCATTTGAATGCCAAAAATAGAGTAGGAGTAGGATATATAGTACCACAATCAGGACATCGCTTATAAAACTTGTTGTTCTTGAGAACAAGTCCTGAGCCCCCACAAACTTCACATTTCCTTTGTTTCACCTGCCAAATTAAAAAGGGACAAGCAATCAGATTTTTGAAAACGAAGCATATATTCAATTGAAACGTAGGACTGCTACTTAACAATTCTCTTGCTGAACTCGATTCCCGCAACCACGAAAGGTGTCACACCGGCTACCAAAACAATTTCACTAATTTGTTACTCCCAGGAAAAAAGAAGAAGTAAAAAGTCAAGAATTTAACAATAAAAGGAAAAAAGCTTAGAGTAGTAGAAGTGGAATAGTATATATTACCCAAAGAGCCAACAACAATTTGCCAAGTGATATCGGGGTCCGAAGTAGTAAGTGCTGTAATTTCTTCGTTGGCGGAGGCTTTGATTGGCGGCTTCCTTAATTGCTTGTTTTGTTTCTTAAGAAGAAAATGATAGGATTGTTTGTTTAAGGGAAAGGCCTGAAGATTGAATATTGGTTTGGCATCTGAAAATTTTGAAGGCCTGAATACTGGAGCCAATGTCTCCATTGTTGACTCCCTTGTTTGCAGGGGAACGTACAATTATTATTTGGAATAATAGGCTGGTGTTTATCAACCACAAAATTGTCTTCTCGCTCAAATGTCTCCACGTTGACTCCCTTGTTTTTTACTCTCTCCATTTTCCTTAATTAATTTGATTTTATGGCGCTTACCTTTTTTCCTAAATTGTTTTCTTGTTATTAAGTGAGTATACTATTTTTTTTTTCCAAATAAAATGATGATTGATGAGCAGCATTATACAATGGTTCGATTTAATTTGTCATACAAATCTCGAGTGACATTTTATATATAAAGTGTTTCCTGATTCCTGTCAAATATAAATACTAGTAAATAAATAAATGGGATAATACATAAGATGCACCCTTTGGACAAGTATAGGGAGGTAATGAGGTTAAGTGTGAAACTGATTTTTCCGTACAAATACATGGTGTATTTGATGTATTTTCCCTAAATAAATTGCGTAATTGCATACTTCATCTCATTTTTTCTCTTTCGGTATGTTGTGGGTCACTTCGGAACTAAAGAGGGTGTATCTTCAATTTTAAATCATCAAATACTATATCGCATCCAAAAGTGTAGTTCAACGAACGATAAAGCTGAAATGAAGACCATGGGACTAGGAATGAAGACCATGGGACTAGGATTAAATCACATTGGAGGTCGGAAAATAAACCAAATGATTTTGTTCACGTCTTTCTAAATCTACCCAACATTTATTTTGTAAAAGATGCAGTACCGGATTGAATTTTGAAGTTTATGCAAGATGGGCTAAATGGAGTTACCGAATATTAGGGTTGTTTGGTAGGATATATTATGAAAAATAATGCATGTATTAATTTAGGTAATATTAATCTCTTATTTGATAGTAGTATTTTTCAACTTAGCTTTGGTATTATTAATCACTTGTTTGATAGTATTTTTCAACTTATGTATAACTAATACATGTATTAATTATACACCATATTCAGTACTATTTTTATACATAGCAAACCATGACCCTTTCAACATCTTTTCAAATCCTTTCCAGAGTATTTTTGTAAACAAACAAATTTTAAATAAGTTATGATGTGCATGTTATTTTTACTACATCAAACCAAATAGTCGATATGAAATAACTTCAGTATAACTAATCGCAACATTTAATACACCTTATTCAGTTCTATTTTTATAGACCCTACCAAACGACCCCTAAAACTAATAAGAAGGCACATACATGATGGAATAAAGTGTTGCTTGTATGGGTGAAAAGATGCGGCACCCAATGAAATAGTCGAGATGCACACGAGCGGACTTAACACCACCGATATTGTAATGTTTCATTTCTATTTGACCTATAGAACTGCCACGAAAAAGCATTGACCAATCTATTGGTACTACTTTTCAACTTCAACCTCAAATAAAGTTCCTTCGACCAATATTGTAAGTCTGTCAAATATAGTCTAAGCAATTATCTTCATAGAAAGGGGAAGGGCGGGGGCCGGGTTTGGCGACTAGCATAAGAGTTGAGTTTCCAGACATTCGTGTTATAAGTGAATTTCAAATGTTTCCCGAACCCAAATCGTGTATTGTTCAATTCTAAAAACCTGAGACCAGAAAGCCTAAACAAGTTACGAATCGGCAGTTGGCACAAGTTTTAGGCAATGAAACCTTCAAAATGCAGTTGAAATAGGCATAATAACCTATTTCAATCTGGCATAAAGCTATTCATCACTCTTCTAAAAAGAAATGTTAGTCAAAAGAAAGGTCAAGAAGCTAAGACAACCTAGAGGGATATGTTAATCGCCATTATCTCATTCTGAGTCCAGTATCAATAGCAACACTTCCCCATAAAAAAACAAGTCCTAAAGATTTCATAAGCCGCATTCAGTGGACCCAACCAGGCAAAAAGAAATTTTGGAAAACAAGGCAGATACACACAGGCAATGCTTCAGATACTGAAAAAGAAGCTCACATCCACGGAGCAGGTAACCAATTTAAGTACAATAAAACAATCAGATACTAAAAAGAACAGAGTCCAATTAAATAGAAAGAGAATTCTAGGGGGTATGCTACCAGAATACCATGGCAACCTTAGCAATTATGCTAGTCAAGTCACACAAAAAAAGAGCTGCAAACAACTCAACATAAATATTTAAAGGCATGGTTCCACATATGAAAGTTACTCCTGCAGTCATGCTGCAACTTTAGCACTTAACCACTCAAACCACAACAGACCTTCAACCATCACAGAACAAATATTTAAGAAGGATTCATCATATAAGTTTCTTCTGGAGTCATGCTACCCATATTTGATTTCTTGCAACATTAAATACATCAATACACAGTTTAATATTTATGAATGTAATATTTAGCTAGCCGACATCATTATTTAAACCGAATAAATCCTTGCTGCAACTTTTGAGCTAATTAGAAGAGTTGCCTTTAAAGCTTCAAGTCATAACTTTCAAAGAATGGTTGTCAATGAAGAAAACCTATCCTAACCGTCTCTTCTCTATCCAGCACATCTATTTGCACTCACTCTAGCTCGATGATCAAGCAGTTGAAGATTCATATGTTATAACTTGCTTAAATTTTTGTAAAGGTCTTTATCGAAAGATTGTCCTTCACTGAAGTGGTATGGGTATTTTTAAAACATTTCGTGTTGTGCAGCACTTCTATTTTGACACATCCGAGGAAGAGGGCATCACTATCTTCTTCATTTAATGTCTTGTCCTGAAAGGAAGGCATTTGAAGTCCTCATTTTAATCTTGCCACCCCCACTATAATTTCATGATGCAACTAGCAGTCCAATACTATATATTTTGCTTCACCAATATATCTTTCCATCCTCCTCCACAAGGTGCCCCTTCTGGTTTCCGGTGCCAGTTTTCTGGCTAATCAAGACAATAATCAGACTTGGATTTATTTTTATTTTTTGATAATCGAGAAATTCCCAAGGGCCAGTGGTTCCCGGTTTGAAACTCCGTGCAAAATGAGGCCCCTTCTACGCTTCTCCACATAAATACCAGGCTTTTATTTGCGATAAGGTTTGAACCTGTGATGTGCATCTAACTACACCACGTAATGCGCTCTTACCAGTACAACCAAACCCCAGAAACCTTGGGCACACATACTAGGAAACTTCATCCCTAAAATTGTGTTTTCTTGTCAAATACATTCTTCTGGATAAAGAATTTGCCATCATTCCCAAACTGCCATTTCCAGCAAATAAGCTATTTTTGTTTTTGTTGGAACAGGCAAGGAACGTATATATATATTATAAGAAAAGCTTAGCACTAAGATGGTGGTGCTAAGTCAATACAAATAGTGCATCACTATAAACTTGCAATAAGCTTATGAGCTCAAAGTACTCCGATTCATTTGTAGCTGTTTTTTCTTCTTTCTTTTTTTTTTTTTTTTTTTTTTTTTTTTTTTGCCGTTTCCCCAGATTGAAACATGCTAAAATGAAACCTTCACATGAATAATTTCTTTCCTGGAAGATTTACATCTTCGGTAATAAATTAACTGAATGATCAACAATGAGGTCCATCGAGAATATTCGTATTTGCGGTAGCTTTACCACTGTTTCTGTTTCTTATTCTTGTTAATTGTACATGTGTGTTACAAAAATTTTTATCTTTCGATATTGGGTAAAATTTTTATTTTTGTATATCCATACAAAAATATGGTTCTCTAAGAAAGGCACCCAATCTTCTGTACAAACAGGGATCTTACACAAACAGGAACCTCATGGTGTTACCAAAAGGAAACTAGAGATAACATACTATTCCCTCCGTTTCAGTTTATATGACACACTTTTCTTATTAGTCTGCTAAAAAAAGAATGACATATTTCTATATTTAAAAACAATTCAATTTTAAACTTTCCATTTTACCTATTTTACCCTTAATGAAAGCTTTTGTACAAATGTTATGGCCCACCCAAAGTTTTTACCCTTTATGCTTTAAAGACCACAAGTTTAAAAAGTTTTTTTTTTTTCCTTCTAAAACTCTATGCCGAGTCAAAGTGGTTATACAAATTGAAATGGAGAGAGTATAAATTAGATTTGCAAATCATTCTCTACTCCTTCAAATGTTCTCCTAATTCTCTTCTTTCATACAACTCATATAAGAGTTAACGGAGAAACATCTCATTCCCAGATACTCATGTTCTCCTAATTCTCTTCTTTCATACAACTCATATAAGAGTTAAACGGAGCAACATCTCATGCCCAGATACTCTTTCTCCCTCAAAAAGCCCAATTGTGTAGTGCTGCCTTTTGTGGTGCCTGCATCACCCATGGCACTCCAAACCAACTTAGGACTACCCACCACAACAACATCGCCTCCTGACAATGCAACAAGAGATGATCCTACATTTCATCTGAATATTTGCACATAAAGCACAAACTCACATAAGTGATTCTTTTCTTTTTCGGGTTTTCCGTTGTCAGTGTAGCACCCCTAGGTCCCAACAACGCGATGAAACACTCCTTCTTGGGCGCCCTAGGAATCCAATTGTTTGGTGTAGAATCTCTCTCTCTCTCTCTCTCTCTCTCTCTC